GAAGATGGTGGGAGGAGCCAAGGATCAGATGTCCTTCATGGGGCCTGTGTGTTCCAGCTAAGGCCTGCCTCCTTTGTTTCTACTGCATCCTAAAACAGAGCCACCAACTGGGGCCCAAATATTCACACAAGTGCCTGTGAGACACACTTCACATCGAAAATGGAACACAAAGATTTTATTTATTATTATAAGGCATAAAATATTTAATGTGTTTCTGAGGAAATCTAGCCTAAGAGGTGACCTCCAACTTAATGGGCGACTTCCCATAACAAGTCTAATGGTGACCTACAAAAAGAAAGAGTACAAACACCTGGGAGAGTAAAGAACTTGAAGCCAAGGCCAGAACGGAGGAGCAAAGTAGGCGCATGCTGTACGACTGAGCAGAAATACTTTATTTATTTACTGGCATCTTGTTATGTGCCCAGTGTCATATCAGAGTAGAGAACAGTGACAGGCAGAAAGTAGGTGCCTTGGTGAGTATGGACATGATACATCCGGGTCACAATATCAAAACCAATCAAAGGAAGTACACCCAGTCTTCACCCACATTAGATGGTGCTCAGAAATAGCGCCTGGCGCAACTGTGAGAATGTCTTCCTCTGTTTTTGTCAAAGCAAAATTCCACCAGCTGCATAGCTCGGAAAGTGGATTAGCCTCCCAGCCTGACATCCTTGAATCCCAAGCCTAGATGAGGCTTGCTGCGATCCCAGAGCTTAGCTGCCTTCTGCTTCCAAGATGCTGGAAGAAAGAGCAAATAAACCACAGTCTGCACGAAGCCCCTTGAAACAGGACTTTAATCCCATTAAAAGGGAGAAGCCCTCAAGATGAGCTCCCTCTATAAAGTCCCATCTCCTGAGCACATCACATTGGTCGTTAAGTTTCTGTTTCTTTTCTTTAAGATGAGAAAATTAAACATTTGCTCTGATTGCAATACTGTTGCAGAAGAGAAAAAGATGCTACAGAGAGAGGGATGAGAGCCATAGTTAGCTGTGCCTAGAACGATGTGGGAGGAGAAAGGGCAGACAGGTCAGCAGCAAGGATTGCTGGGAGTGGGTCAGTATATTTTCACTTGAAGTATGTAGATATGTTATTCTACTTGCCTTTTTTTTTTAATGGAATAACTTTTCAGCAGAAGCAGCAGTTAAGGAGTTAGCGAAGGGTTGTTGAAACTTTGAAGGAAAAGGAGAAGCCCGGATGACTCATGTGAAAGTCAGGGACAGTCGGTTTCATTGATGGAGGAATGCGGTGTGGCTTCCAGCCATCCTGAGGAATGTATTTGGCGTTTAAGATCCTAACTGTAAAGGACAAGCAGACATCTGGCTTTTATGTGTGCTTCAATAGATGCAGGGATGGAGCAGGTGTGAGTCCTATCTTATCAGAATTATGATTTTGCCTGAATCCACAAGAAGGGAAAGGGAGACATGACTGAAAATGTGTAACAGACTGAATGTTTGTGCCTCTTCAGAGATGGCGTATTGAAAATTTAGCTCGCAGTCACTGGAATAAGGCTATAAGTCAGTAATAAAGAGTATACAAGGTTCTTAGGGTCTTAACCAGTAGAGCTAGTGCCCTTCAATGAGGAAAAAGGACACCAGAGTTATCTACTGTGAGTCCCCAGGAAAGGCTGCGTGGAGACTGTAGTGAGAAGTCCCTAGGCAATGAGTGTCCTGCACAGACAAAGTCCTGCCAGAGCTCAGTCAGCATGAGTGACCATATGAGGAAAGGACAAGGTGGCCGTCCATGTGGATATGTAATGACGGCCTGAGAGTTCAAGCAGGATGAGAGGGAACTGAACATGGTAGCTGATGAATGCCAAGCTGTGAAATTAAACACGGTTGATGAACTAGAAGTGGGATGTCTGGGAAGAGAAGGTCCTTGGCGAGTAGATGCTTGCTTGTCATAGAATCATGAAAGTGATGCTGTCCCTGGACAGCCTAAAAGGAAGAGAATGAGCAGGATATGAATTTATTAATGGCAAGCATCAGAAAGCGGAGAAATCAGGAGACAGAAGATTGTATGTATACTGAAGACAACAACTCCTACAAAGCCAAAACCCTCAAGGAAGGGTTGAGTGTATGTCTTCTTGGCAGAGCACTTGTTGCCCATGTGCATGGTCCTGCAACATAACCCAGCAAAGCAAAAGGACTGGACATAAGAATAAGAGAATAACTTTGAGTAATTTTTCAAAATGATATCATCAGCAATGGGTTGTAAACTAAAATGAAATGGAAGAAGGATGGAGAAGGAGTCAGGAGAGAGAATTTATCAGCCTCTGACTTGAACTGATGGAGGGACGGACCATGGTGTTATTGCCATGTTAAGGAGATTAGGAGATTTGCAGATTATTTTCCAAAGAAATAACTTGAAGTGCCCTCGAGATATCCAAGTAAATCTGTTGAGTAGGTAGATAATATTAATATTACATGGCTAAGTGAGTCATGATTTATTTACCACTTTCATAGTATTAGCTGATTATTTAGATAATTAGAAATTCCTATCATTATAAATTAAATATGCCCTTTCACATAGAAGCTTGTAGACACAGTTGATAAAGTTGTGTTAGGGAAAGACTTTAATAATTCAAAGAGTATCGACGCTTTCCAAAAGTTCTGTCTAGATACAGGAAGACTACCTTATGGAGAGTTTATGTCTCTCTTCTGCAAACATCATATGAAAGTGAAACTCCCTCACAGCATGCGAGGGAAATGATAAAATATGGCTTACCATTGGGGGGGTCCATGTTTTTCATTTGATTAGTCATAGTGTTCAGTACACATTGATGATTGGTTGTTGTTTCTTTGTAAAAATGTAAACATTACCTTCATTCATAAACTAGTTTAATTGAACCAGAAATAAAATACTGGTAGCTACTCAGAAAATCATAAAACAAAAGGCCAATGCTGTTCAGAAGTCAGACTCTAAGAGGCAATGAGGCCATCTCGGCAGTGATCATGCAGGCTTTGCACGTGGGTTGTGTTTACCAAGCCTTATATTCATTTCTCTCATTCAGTGGCTTTTATTGAGTGTATTGCAATCTTTGCAGATTTCCCCCACTAACCTTAAATTTTCCGGTGTCTGTTACTATTCATCAATAGTTCCTTTCTCCATAATAAAGTCTGGATAATGCATAAATGATTTCAGGAAAACGGTGGGAGACATGTTTATCATCATCTCTAGCGTTTAGTCAGTGAGATGTGGTTCAGCTTCTTCGTCCATTTTCTGCTGCTGTAACAACATACCACAGACTCACATGGAGACAATACAAGGTTAGGCAGCTATGATGTCAGGAGGCCAGGCCAGCATATGGTCAAATTGTAATTCTTCGTCACAACATAAGGAAAAGGCAAGAGATGTAGGAGGAGGTAGGGGCCGCTTGTTAGTTCCTGGCAGCTTAGCCCTGAAATAATCACACAGAAACTATTAATTAAATCACTGATTGGCCTATTAGCTCTAGTTTTTTATTGACTAACTCTTGCATCTTAATTTAACCCATTTCTTTTAATCTGTGTGTCGCCATGTGGCTGTGGCTTACTTGATAAAGTTTTGGCGTCTGTCTCTGGCAGGGCTCCATGGCTTCTCTCTGACTCTGCCCTTCTTCCTCCCAGCATTCAGTTTAATTTTCCCTGCCTACCTAAGTTCTACCCTGCTATAGATCCAAAGCAGTTTCTTTATTCATTAGTGGTAATCACAGCATACAGAGGGAAATTCCACATCGAAGAGAGAGAGGGAAAATCAGTCTTCCTGATCCCTTTCATCAGCAGCCCTCTCTGTTCCGTATCTAGCCACCCCCTCAATTACAGCAGGAGTCTGCACACGAGGAAAGAGCCCTCGGGAAAAAGCTGCCCTGTGACGGCCCCATTTCGTAATAGATTTGTACTAAGGGTGACGTTTCCAATCACTGGAAGATACTATTGCCACTTCTAATTTGTCTCTAAAATCATTACTATATTCACTCAATGGAATATATAGTCAATTTACCCAACGACTATAAATTGTAACAAAGAGTGATCATGGGCATGAAGGTCAAGTAGGACGACTCTGAGTCTTCATGATTTCAGGTAAAGATTTAGAAGGGAAATTCCTGAGGTTTATTAGAATTATCTCAGACGTTATGGATTGTGGTTAAGGAAATATTCTTTTTGGAGCATGCTCCTCAAATCATAGTTAAGTGAAAAGTGGCGTGACCCGTGTGATAAACGATTATTTTTTCACATCAGACAACCCATTGTTTGTACGTGCGGCTTTCTGGGGATTTATGGCTCCCTGCCTTCATGCTGAGTCTCTTCAGCTTTCTCTGATGCATTTCCACTAACCTGGAGGTTAAGGCATTTCTTGATCATGGGTATATCTGACTGCTGCTCAGCTCTGGAATTCTTTATAAAATTCCAGAACTTGGGCTAGAAATTGACTTAGGGAATCCAATAAACTCACACGCCTTGGCAGTCATCCAAGCTCAGTTTATAGACTGGAAGAAATATGGGATTTCCATTGTTCTCCTTTTCACCTTTCTGGGGTTTCTTTTGTGTCTATGTGCGTGTGGAAGTGTAAATTTATCATGTTGCTGACACTGGGGTGGAAAGAACCATTGAAGGGACCCAGGTCAGGAATTTTCACTTCGCATCTTCCCGTCTTTCTGAACTTTGACCCAAACCTGCACCAAGAGTGAATTTCTCTCTCTCTAGAATGTTGATGTTAGAACTTTAAAGGATATTCTTGCAAATGGGTTGTGTGAGTCTAACAGCTGAGATGATTGCCTGACTGCTATGAACAACTCCCAGCAATCTGTTCTTCTGGATCAGTGTGGGCCTGTTTGAGAGAGGATCTGAGCAAAAGTGACCCAAGTGTCTCACTTGACGCTGTGATATGGTGATAAGGACAAGAAGATATGCTTGGGCGTGTCTGAGAGACATCAGACTTCTTGTGTGTCTGTGATGCTTAGCTGCAGAGATCCGATCAGTATCACTGCGCCTGCTACTGAAAACCCTGTCTTGTGCTTCCAGAACGGGTTTGCTGTTGTGAGGCCCCCAGGCCATCATGCTGAAGAGTCTGCTGCCATGTAAGTACCAGGGCCCTGCCATCTTCCAGTGCCATGGTTCCTGGCAGTCACCTGCACGTTTCTGAAGTCTCTAATTGCTAACAGATGGGCTGAAAACTCTCGCGAGGTACTCCTAGAAGCAGATTTATGACTTCAGAGATCATGTAGCATCTTTTAAAAAAATGCTCTGAACATTATTTATAATGGCTTTCCTGGATGCTTTTTCTTCTTACTTCTCTGTTCTTTATTCCACAGGGGGTTCTGCTTTTTTAATTCAGTTGCGATTACCGCCAAATACTTGAGAGACCAACTCAGTATGAACAAGATATTGATTGTCGATCTGGTATGTATGCCTGACCAGGGCAGCATTTTCAGTGGCTCCAGGTAAAGGGGAGTGGATGCGCACTTCTCTGCAAGGCTGTCTTGCTCTTAGCCCTGCAAACCTCTGATGGGTGTGTTTCCTTTGCATGTGGAAACGCCTTAAACTCAGGACTGCAGTTCTGAAACCATAAACATTCACGTTTCACTTTCATGGTGTTAACTGCAATTTAATGAGAAGACGGCGCAGATCAGGGCAACTTTTATGATCCTTAAATGAATTGATACTTCCACAGTTAAAATAACCCAACAGAACCTGAATTTACTTTTCCCTACAGAATATAGACTTTAACTACTCAGATGTGCTGGAAGGAATGCTGTTGCTTTGGTAACCAATTGGCCGCTTCCCCCAGTTAGCAATCACACCCCTTGTTGTGCCACACTGGTATTATTAAAGCAAGTCAACATGTCATTCTCGGTGAAAAGATCTCAAGTCTCAGATGCCAGTTTGGGATGACTCCCTGCAGGACCCTGGGTGATTAAAAGTCAGAAGCCTTGGATGCATCCTGCATTTTAGCGTGGAGCATTCTTACACAATAGTTATCATTTGTTCGACAAGTGGTTTGTTTAAATGCAGACGACACTTGGCAGGTTGTCTAAAACGTATGCATGAATAATGAGCTGGAGATCTGCCCCATACAGAAAGAACCAACCCTGGAAAGGGCGAGGGAAAGGCAATGGTGATTTATGAGCCCGCTTCTCAGTTTGCCTGCACTCCACCAGGAGGTGTAATGGCTTGTCTGACAAAGCATAGACAGGAAATGAACCCTGGCATCCAAGCCAAACCTGCTGCATCTGCACTTAATTAATTTTTACAGGTGATAAAAGATTTAAAGGCAAAAAATGCTAGAGGTTTTTTTTTGAAGTGCAAGCCTTAATAGTTTAAATCTTGCTCATATCTGCACTCATAATTAAATCTTATTGGAAGTCATGACATCAACCTCCAGCCCTTAGATTTAGTTAAGCGGGTACCCCCAAAGGGTGGAGAGACCACTAACAAAGTCGTGTAAAGTAATATTTAAATTAAAATGAAGATTTTTTTTAAAAAAAAGTGGAAGATTGACAACCACTTCTATGACTTGGTTTAAATAGGTAATTTTTATATTGTGGCTTCTGTGTAGACATTTTCATGTGAATCCTACTTTTCTATGTGTTTTCTAAACATACTTAAGTTTCAAAGTAGTTCACAGTTCACTGAACAGGCTGTGTTGAAGGAGAGAGCTATAACACTGCAGAGTTCTTTTAATTTTGCATGAATACCTATTTTCTCAAATATATTCAAAATGATGCTTGAAGTAATTCAGAGTTTGCATGCTAGATAACCTAAATATCATTTCTCCTGGAGTTTTGTAAGGATGAGCTTAGAAGGAAAAGATGGCAAGCGGAGATCCAGGAACTTGAGGGTTGGGCAAGGTTAATGGTTAGCTTTGTTTTTCTTAAGAGTGACAAGCTCTTCTAACTGTAAGTATTTCTTGAGAGATATATGGGTCTGACTATAGAGAGAAGCTCTCTCGATTTCTATACTGACTGACTTGGTAGCTCTAAGGAGTCACTTTCCTCTACGTGGATGGCAATTGTGATTTTACTCCATTATCCAATCCGTGAAGGATGTTCCTCTCCAAATCGGCTCCCAAAGATGAGAAGTTTTTGTTTCAGGTCCTCTCAGTGTATGAAGTCCTGTCCAAAGAGTGGCCTCTGAGGTCACCACCAGCCCACACTTCTTACTTTCCAGTGTTCCACACTCTGCAGCTGCACGGCACTTTGAGGAAACTCTTGTTTCCAGAAACTGAGAAGGACATCTTAAGGTGCCACGAGATGCTGAGATACCCCTTCTCACTGGCCAATTGGTCTCTGTGCAAGTGACAGAGGAGAGAGGAAGATTCTACAGGGGGAAGACAGTTCATCCCCTCAAATCCACTGGCCTCAGGGTCTGGAGCCCTTCACCATAGTGTGGCTCTCTCATCTAGTGCCTAGTTTCGACATTTCATAGCCAAGTAAATATAAAGCCAGAGTTGCAACTCTCTCTACTTGGGCCAGGGCCTACTTCGGAGGTGTTTTCATGTTAGGCAGGTGGGATTCCAGTTATTTATGAAGTCTTTTCATGTCTTTTCTCTCTGTGATGTGCAAATCAGTACAAAAAGGAAGTAGGCCTCTTTGCCTTACCACTTCCTTCCAGGAGGCAGCGTGTCCATGGAGTAGACTTTCTTCCCTGAATCATATGTGTAACGTAGAAGGAAATTTTAGATCACAATTCTTCTTAAGTTCTGTTTTCCCTTACAACAAAACAGTTACTTCAATGTCCTTATAAGTTTATGACATTCGATTGTTGATCAAAGACATTTAGACCTTTGTCTCCATATACTAATTAGTTATAAAGGATAATATTAACTGGAAGAATATATGATTTGTTCAAAGCCATCTTCAATAAGAACAAAATACATAGGTTCTAAATTCTTATAAAGAATCAGATTTTATAGTATGTGTTTTAACCAGTAAAATATTGATAGGCATTTTTTCCATAATTCTAAGTACATCTTAGATTCAATGTTTATTTTAAGGCTGTGATGATTCATTTCATCTTTATGCTAATTTCTCATAAGCACAGGTAAGTTTCTTGTCTTAGTCTGATATATATTTGTTGCCATGGAGAAGCAGGTTCAGCTAGTTCCTGAGCAGTCTTTGGTTTGAACTGAGTAAGTAGCAGAAGGCACTCTCAACCCTACACTCTTAAGTTGCTGCCTCACACCTACTATATGGGTTCATATTTATCTTTAAGTACTTGGCAAATAAATACAGAATCAAGCATTGCTCAAAAATTAGGATGAATTTGTGTGTTCTTATAAATAAGGAATGCTGGTATTTTTCTTTCTCTTGCTGTGGACAGGATGCATTTCTTACAATGTGTGAACAGACTAGCACCCCAAACAGTTTTAAAGATCAGATGATTTTGTATCAGGGCTATAGGTGTCATTTTTTAGTCTCCCTTTTTCTTAAATAAAGTTTTCCAATGTCACTAAAGTAATGGGAATAGTCAAGCCAGAGTTTCTCTCTACTTTCCAACTGTGGACTCTCTTATCCCTAGAACAAAATTGGCCTTACAGCCCTGGCTCTTGCTGCTGGAGGGGAAGCAGAGATAGCCCTCTGCTGGGGCTTCCTTGGGAGTTATTTTGGTTTTGTTTGATTTTTAAACATATTCTGGATAAGTATTAGCTAGTATAAAATACATTGTGGCTTAAATTGTTTCATTTTTGTTCACAGAAAAAAGAAAAAGTTAATTTTACTATCTTTTCTTTTGAATATTCAGAAATCCAGTAATTAATATGTTTTCATCAAGTTATATACTTTTTCTGATGCGTTTATCTTTGGCTAGTAAAGTTTCTGAGATGATTCCTGTCCGCTGAGCAGTATGATTCTCTGATCACTTTTGGGTGTGTCTGGTATGTGAAGCAGGGAGCAGATTATTGTATGTCTACACCATGGATAGCAAGTGCAGAGGAGGGTTCCTGCATCAAGGGGGCTTTGAAGATGTCTAGTGGAACTGGGGGCTGGAGACTGGAGAAGAAGGGGGTTCTGTCCATCTCAAGGAGAAGAGTTAGTTTCCAAAAAATTCACCTCATAAGCTTGCTAAAAGATTCAGCAAAGTGATAAATAACTAGCTCTTCATTTGCAGTAATGAGTGGATTCAAGATTTCACAACGTGCTGCCTGGAGATTCATAGTAAATTTTTGAAATTCTTTGAGCATCAGTTGTCATATTTTTAGAATAGAAATAATATCACATACCTTATATCATTTTAAGTAATTAATTCAAGGTATTTAATATTGTGTTCACTCAATGGTGGTAAGAAACATTGTTTAAAATAGTATAAATCTTACTGATAAAAATGAAGCCCAATGTATTTAAATAGCTACAAAGTACCAAAGCTCTTTATAACTGTATAAGTGAATAATGTAATAATATTTTTCTGCATAAAATGTGTAGTTCAGCACTCGTTAGCAGCCTGCTTGTTTATCTCAGAAAATATTGAGTGTATTAACTGAAGTCCTTAATACCTGAATTCTGCTTAATAAAGGTATTTTAAATGGTACTCCTTTTATTGTTTCCAATAGTTATGTCAATTGGGACATGTATCTATATTAAAAATAGAAGAACCATCAAGTTTTGAATCATTATCCTCTACCAATGTCCAATAAATTATTTATTCACTTATTGATAATAGGATTTTTTGAGTGGGAAGTTGGAGACGTATGAGAAAGACAGACAGATGAGAAAGAGAGCTGGGATGCGATCCGTGATGCAGTCATTATCTGTGAGACAGATTGGAAAGGACTGCGTAGATCCCTGTGCCATCTTCCTGCTTTGCCCAAATAATTTCACAGTTAATGAGCTCACGCCCCTGTTTCTTCTACTCTTGCTTCCACGGTTTTAGCAAAATGTAGTAGGAAGTCCTCTTCCCATCTGGCGTCTTTTTTGAAGTGACTCTAGCCGAGGGATTGCTAACTGAACTGAATGCTTCAAGAAAGCCAATTTATTCAGCTGGTTGCAAAGACTTTGACCTTAATGGTGGGACTTGGCAAATCAAGGCATACACGTATGATTTACTGTTCTGTCAAGAATTGTGAGAACGCTCTGTAAGCCACAGATCCCCCTGAAAAGGACTAGTTTGGAGTTTAAACATTAGTCCTTTTTTTTTTCCAGAGGCCAATGAGGCTAGTTAATTAAGCCTGAGGGGTTATGAACTGTTGGCAGTTAATAAGTCATAAAATTCCTCTATAAAACAGGATGCAGGATTCCATCACTGAAGCAAAGAGTACAAAGTGCCGATGTATAAATATCTAATTGGACCGAAGGACTGGGCTTTCTCACTGACTGCTCATCTGGAGTCTCCAGGGCATGCTCGCTGTGGTTTCCTGATTTTTAGAAGCCAGTTTAAAAAAAAAATGAGAGCATTAAAGGGTAATTTGCCTGAAAGTTCAGGAAGTAAAGGGTTGTATAGAAGTAGACTGAAAGGGAGAGAGAAAGAAAGCCGAGGAGAAGGCAGAAAATGAGAGGGAGGGTGGGGTGGGAAGAGAGGGAACCAGGAACGAGAAGAGTGTCTCCAGAGGCAGATGTGACAGTGCTTGTCATCTGTTTTCTCTCCCCGTAGGACGTTCACCATGGCAACGGTACCCAGCAGGCCTTTTATGCCGACCCCAGCGTCCTGTACATTTCTCTCCACCGCTATGATGAAGGAAACTTTTTCCCCGGCAGTGGAGCCCCGAATGAGGTTCGGTTTATTTCTTTAGAGCCCTGCTTTTACTTGTATCTCGCAGGTAATTGCATTGCGTGATTACCCCTAATTTTCTTGTCCTTTGCTGCTGTTTTAAATTACCCCAGATTACCCGCTTGTCCCACAGGACCAAGAACCAGCGCAGAACAAGTGCATAACCCAGAGAGCTGGCTGTCAAGCAGAGCTGGCTTGATTTGACGCTGTGTTTGATGTTTATTTCAAGAGCTCCCATGTGCTTGTTTCCCGCTCCTTTTGTTTCGTCCCTCTCCTCCGTTCTCCTCCCACAGTGGTGTGTTTTTCTATTCCCAGGTTGGAGTAGGTCTGGGAGAAGGCTTCAACATCAACATTGCCTGGACAGGTGGCCTTGACCCCCCCATGGGAGATGTTGAGTACCTCGAAGCCTTCAGGTTGGTACTTCTTTCTCCCTGAGAGTGTCACGTTAGAAAATACCAAATGAAAGAGAAATGTGAATTCTCCACCAAGCCATGTGGAGATATGCATATGAAAATAAGGCTTATCAAGACCTAGCTGTTTTATACAAGTATATTGATTCCCTCTGAATGCAAAGGGAGAAAATGTGTTATTAATTGACTTTTCCTGGAAAATATTGCCTGTTTTAATAGGTGAGGTGGTTTGCAGCAGACATTCACATATTAAATGCTCTGAGAAGTCCTTTAGTGCCTATGTCCCATTGTAGAGCAAGGATTTCCTAAGCTAAAATCCCTTTGGCCTTCTCAGACCATTGGCCTGAGCTATGGCATCTGATAACAATAGACTTTGCGTATTTCCTGCTCACATTAAAATATTCGCCATTTCTGTTTTCTGCTTATTTAGAAGTAAATTCCACCGCATGTGTTTTTTACTAAGCAAAGATTGATGATTCAAAAAAAATAAATACAATTTCCTGTTCTGTCTCTAGATCTCACTCATGGTCTGTCGCCCCTCCCCCTCTCTACCCTCTCCTTTGCTTTCCCGCTCTGTAAAATTTTAAAAGCGGCATTTCTTTTCTAGAATTAAAAACTTAAAAACAAGGTCTTTGGGAAGGTCTCATCCCCATATAAGCTCAGCATGCAAGATCCAGAGGGTTAACTCAACGGTGATGCAGAACTCCCCATGTATTTTGTTTAGTTCACAGCGTAAACTCAACAACCACGTGAAAACAAACCTGAGGGGCTATCACGGCTTTGAAATCCACCATTCATAAATTCCCCAAAGAGAAGCCCTCTGTTAAACATCTGAGCACAGGGGAAGAGCAGGGGAAGTGTCAATGAGTGACATTCCTGTGAGCTGCCAGTGTTCTCTGTGTTACAGAGTTTTCATTGAAAGGGTCACATTTTAAAAAAGAGGGCCAAAACACTATAGAAAAGTAGCTACTTATAAACGAACAACGCTTGGCTATACAAAGGAAAAGTCTACCCACATTTTAGATGTACACTTTGGGGAAAAAATATACACAAAGGTGTCCACAACACTTAGTGAAAGAAAAATATTAACAATTTTATTTATCATGAACTTAGACTGTATATGAAGAAATTTTGCTTTAATTATCAGCAAGTTTGAAATATTATTTAAAAATAATTAACATCTTAAAGGAACTCTAAGGGCTTTGTAGATGTTAATATTAACATATAAATACATATGAACATAATAAATATATAAATAACATGTATATGTAAAAATTATTAACACATATAACACATATGAAGTTAATGTGGGGGCTGGAGAAATGGCTCAGCTGTTAAAGGCTAGGATCACAACCAAAAATACCAAGTTGATGTGGTTTCACAACACACAGCAAATTATCAGCTCTGTGTAGAAATGAATCTTGCATGTGCAGTGGCAAAGGACTATTTATATTTTGCTCCTATTATGCTCACATCCGATGTGAGTGGTAGATGAGTTTGTTTCCTTTTGATCATAATTTCATTTAATAATATACAAGCAGATAGTAAGTGTACTTCGTTATTTTGTGATTGAGACGGTAAGTGAATCAGGAAAGGCACTTGTGTTTGCTTGCATGTGGACAAGTTATGTTAGTAAACTGTTATGAACTCCCCAGTTCATTCCACATTACCTGAGTTTAACTACAGACATGGCCTTATATATTACTGTAGCAATTAAAAACTATTTTTATACAATATTCATAATTGCTTAAGAACCATATTTTAAGCTATAATAATTAGTTAAAACTATTACTAGTTGACAACCAATAGTGACTATTTTTTAATGTTTATGCCTGGAAATACTTGTGAATTTGTTTTGAATGAGTCAAAAAGGTAAGCAAATCATCCACAAAGTATCTTTTTGGCATGCTGTATGCCATTAGACTGTGGTGCTCAGAATCAGGGTTATCCTGGTCTGTAGCATTATTAGGAAGTGAACCGTAACTTTTGAGGAGCCCACGTGGCTTAGGCGAAGAGGGCCAACTCTCCCTGAAAGGTCAGGGGAGACTGTGATCTGTTCAGCCTTTCAAGTATGAGTAGAAGTTTGCTAGTCCACCAGCATGGACTCTAACCCTCTGACACTGTAAATTCAATTAAACTCTTCCACAAATTGCTCTGGACATGGTGCTTTATCACAGAAATAGAAAAATAGCTAAGACAGACTTTGGTACAGGGTTGCTGTGACAGACTTGACCTTGTAATGTTCTGAATGACTGTGAAAGACTTTGTTACTTCAGACTAGAAGAGGAGTTGAACACCACAAATAGGGCTTAGTGGGCTGCCTATTAGGAGCCTAAATAACAGCCATAAGCGCTATGGGACTGTGGAAGCCCAGCTCCAGGGACTTCAGAGAGAAGTAAGGTCTTCAGCAGCTGCTGGGGAAGAGGCTGAAGAATGTGGTTACTGCACGCTTGTCCTAAGAGTTTGCCTGGGGTTAAATTCAAAAGTAACGAACTAATTTCTTTGGTGGAGATGTCAAGACAGTTTAATATTGAATCTGTCACGTGGTTATTAGTAATCACTGATATGCAGATCTACAATGAAAATGATGAAGTAGGACAGAAAGAAACACAACATGTACCATTTGAAGAGAAAAAGAAACAGAAGAATTAATGTTGGAGCCGAGGCTGGTGTTGAAAGAGATGAGGTTAAGGAGAAGCCTTCTGCAAAATGGAATAAGAGAAGGGTGGGAGCCTCTGGCCAAGACCCCATCTTGCTAAGCTTTCAACTTGCAAAAGGAAAAGGGCCTAAAGAATTTTCTGTTCCTAAAACACTACAACAAAAGAAAACTTTTACAAATGTAATTCAAGGGGGTCAAACTCCATCCTGAGTTGCCTTGCTATGGTTATTAATCAGAGCAATAGAAAAGTAAGACACTGCCCTTCCTTTTCTGTCCCCTGGCGTGATCATGCCTGTCTCTTTGTCTCTCTTTCTTTCTATCTCTTCTTTTTCTTCTCTCTCTCTCTTTCTCTCTCTCTCTCTCTCTCTCTCTCTCTCCCCCCCTCCTTTAATAAATGTTTTCCACGCCCACTCCTTTTTTACCTCTGACCTCCGTCGCCATCTCTCTCTCTCTCTCTCTCCTGTTTTCTCCCGGTGTACACATGGGGCTTTCTCTCTCCTCTCCTTTTCTCTCTCTCTCTCCTCTCTCTCTCTCTCTCTCTATCTCTCTCTCTCTCTCTCTCTCTCTCTCTCTCCTCCTCTCTCTCTCCTGTAGTAAATATTTTAGCTTTATGCCAAAAAAGAAAAGTAAGACACTATCATCTATCTATCCATCTATCATCTATCTGTCTGTCTGTCTATCTATCTATCTATCTATCTTCTATCTATCATCTATCTATCTATCTATCTGTCTATCTACCTATCATCTATCTGTCATTCTTTGGCATTTATAAATTTTGCATTTAAGTCAGATGGACTCCAGACATACTAATAGTAACAACAATAACAATGCATCTGCATGCCATATATGCATGCAATAATTGTTTAAAGTATATAATATTATTATATAGTATAAATAATATAGTAATAAGTATTATTGCATGTATCTGTGGCAAGAGTGTATCTGTATTTTTGCACGTATGTGGGTGCAAGTCTGTGTAGGGGTACTGCCAAGTGTCAAGCCCAGAGGTTGACTGACTGCAGGTATCTTGATCATGAGACTCTTCACTTTATTTACTGAGACAGGGTCTTTTGGACCAGGTGCTGATAGATTATCTCATTTAGCTAACTGGATTGCTCTGAGAACATCCTGTTTCTGTCTCCTTAGTGATAGCATTACAGGAAGGCCATCATGTTTGCTTTGCTTTTATGTAAGATCTGAATTCTGGTCTTCACTTATCTTCTGCTCCATCGTTTCAGTCTCGTGAGTCACTTCAGATGCAGTATTACCATTTAAGCATATCACTGTGCTTTTGAAATGTTCCTTACAGGTTTGTGTGTTTGAAAACTTGCTCCCATACTAAGGCCGCTATTGTACAGTGGGGAAATTTTAGGAAATGGAGGGAGCCCACTAGAACTTAAGCCATGCGGGTGTGCTGTTGAAGTCATAATATACTCTTCCTTTCTTTCTTGGTGTCTCTGGTCTCTGAGAAGTGAGCAGTTTTCTTCTTGTCCCCAGTCACAGTGCTTTGGCCCATTACAGTAAAGCTATAGTTTTCATAAGAATTTTAGAAAATATTCAATAATATTAAATATATTTTATGTTCTACTAAGATATGCTTCCAGGGTTACCATTTATAAGGCAATTATGCTTTTTATAATGAGGTCTTATAAGCCAGGTCCTACTTTATAAGCATTAGGGCTAATTAAAATTCTGAATATAAGTCACAGTACACTAACTGGAAGAGTCATGATCTGAGCTTCAATTTTGGCTCTAACCTCTAAGCATTTTTTGTTTTACTACATTGCTACTCTCTTCTGCCCTAAAATGCTAAGGAGTGATAAAGTACAGCAAATAGTGCCAAAAGGTAAGACTTTCATGTGCCCTCGGCTGTACAGTCTACCCAGAAATGGTGACTGGGCACAGAATTCATGCATGACTCTGGCTCCCTACTCAGAGCAGAGACAAAGTGTTGACTGTAAGGGGTGAATTGTAAGACTCTGTTTTAGATGATTCCCAAGATGTTTGCAGAGGCTACCTGGAATTTGAACATCCCTTAGCTTGCTCAGAGAATGCCAGGTGTCTTCTTTTTCTTCAGCAGACATCAACGTGCCTGCTAAATACCATCTGCCCAGTCATTTAAGAGATCACCCTAATGATTCTAAATTCTTGATCATGTCTTATGAGCACTGTTTTTAAATGTTATCTTTATCATGTCTTATGAGCCCACTGTTTTTAAAATGTCTAGGTACCTTCAAATTCATGGCCTCTCTTCTCATTAATTGTTATTACTGCATATATGTATGTATTCCTAAATATAATCTACTCCGTCTATATACTGGTACACGTATTTTCTAAGTTGACC